AGAGTAATCTAGTTTCCTCAAGCAACGTAAACCTGGATGATGGAACATAAGCCGTGCTTTAAAAAAGAAATGTTCCACTCTCATAAGGATCTATCTCCTGGCCTTGTGACAGAGCGGCATAGATTTATATTCGGGTGCACGAATTAAGGAACTAGGATTAAATAAGTGGGTATACATAAGGAGCTAGGATACTGATGTGAATCAAGGCACATTTCGTGTGGGAAATTGATGGTGATAAGGAATGTAGCGGACATACCCTTTCCACACTATCTGGGTGAAATGGGGTGAACGAGCAGACGTGGCGTGAAGAGCTTGCGCAGCCACGCCTCTTTGCTCCTCCCCCTCACCCACTCCCAACTAGGACTGCCCGAAATTCTTTCCGTGGAGTCAAGCAAACCTTTATTTGCACATAAACATCCACTTTTCACGTGAAACTTGAATACGCGTACCAGCACTGGTCCTTTTGTCAGCTTATCAGCAAGCACTTTCGAGAAGGCCGAAGTATCGAGCTTCTTCGGAATCTGGCCCTTCTTCATTGATTCCTGTAAAGATGTAACTGAGAACTAATTACCAGTAAAGGCGCTATGTCAATTCAATATGATGGGGAATTTTGACTAAGAATTACACCGATAAACATTTTCGCTTTCATAAGCAACTAAAAAAACATTACTCCGTAGTCCCGACTACCTTCCCTGTGGCATATAGGAATCGCACCATCCACCTTCGAGCTTGCCCTTAGGCTTCACACGACGTTTGGCACGACGCCAGCCGGTTTTCAACCAACTGTGATGGCTTGTCAGCTTCCACAGATCGCGGAGAACGGGTTGGTTACGTCACACCAAGCCCCCTTGACACGCCCCAGCGTACGCAACGAACAAGACTGTACCATACATGAAAAGTCGGAATAGAGCTAAAAATGGTCATAGAACGCCACATAGACGAGATAGCGCACGCACGAGCAGAAAATGAACGCCATTGAGGTGATGTTGCAGCTCATGGTAGCAATAAATGTATGAACATTATCACTGGACAACAATCTCTTACAAGTTAGCACAAGCCATCTGACAACTATCGCACTGAACATGTTAAAACAACGCTAATGTTGCACTACGTGTAATGACACCTCAAGGACAAGTTCTTTCAATTCGTACACTGCTGCCACGGACTACGATCGCCCCAATTCAGCTTCAAAGCAGCTCTCATCCAGAACTCGAATGCAAACGAGCTACTGCTTTTAAATGCGCCTGGAATTACGCGCAAGAACCCATCGGAAGTCATCACATTAATCTGCTGGTTTCAAAAAATTAAATACACAAAGTATTCGGACCTAGCCGCGACTACACTATCACAAGGGGAGTTCAACATATTCTCGGTGTAGGTATGAAGGAAAAGGCAGAAGATCCTGAATAAAATTTATTTTTCAGTGTAGTCCCAAA